CGGGGCGCAGCCGGGGCGAACCGGGCGGATCGCGCCCTCGCCCCGGAGCAGCCCGCGGGCTGGGCTCGGGCTCGCCCGCCTTGCCGCGCCCCTGCCCGCGGCGCCGCGCTCCGCGCCTCCCGGCCCACCCCACGCAGACCTGTAGCCGCTTCTCCCCAGCTACCCTCCTCGCGCGGGCGCGCTCCAAGGCCGAGCCCTGGAGGAAACTCTTGACTCCGTGCTAGTCCCTCTCTGCCCCATCCCCTCAGCCCATTAACCCCCGACCCTCACCCCAGCTTCTCTTCTTAGGAAAGAGGTGAAAGAGGATGAGAAAGAGATGATTAAAAAGAACACACACACACAGGCGGAATAGGAGGGGGATACTCGCTAGCAGAGGGATTGCAAAAGTGGGCGCTCCTCTTACAAATCCTCCTTCCTTTTGTTTTCTTACTTAGAATTCAATAACCGCTCCCCCCCCCACACACATACATACACACACACACACACACACACACACACACGGGGGGGGGGAGAGATTTTCCAAGAAAAGAGAGGGATGTATTTTCCAAGAAAAGAGAGGGATGGGGGGCGTAGAGGAGAAATAGCCACCAAATTTTTAAAATGGTTCTCCTGATTAGACGTTTGGTGTTTTGACATTAATGACATTAATGTTATTGATGATGTTTCAGGGAGAAAAAGGCGAAAGAAATAAAGGAGAACTTGAAAACGAAATGATCATCATTTCCCTATTCTTCCATGCCAGAAATAGACCCCTTTCTTCACCTGAGCCTGAAACAGACTTATTGTTCTCAGGTGTTTCCTTCATCATACGCATTTACCCGTCTGAAAACGCAGGAAATGGTTTTTCCATCAGTGAGCTTGTACATGGAGCCCTCTCCCTCAAAGGGCTTGATCTTTTCTGATTTGAACCTGAAAGTCTCCCTGCCTTCATTTCCCCTCAGTCTTCTTAAAAGCCCCCACCCCCTTCCCCAACACACACCTCAAATAGTTTTTTAAAGCCAGAATTTTTGCTCTCTGGGGTGTTTTTCTGTAAACAGCAATGCTACATAAACACCTTCTTCACTTGTAAGTTACAGAGAATTAAAATTTTAACACCGTAGCCATGTATGTTTCTTAAAGCACATGGATAAACTCAACTGAGGTACAATCAGACAGCACACCAATGATACAGTTGCTGTATAAAGGTAAGACTGTAAACAAAGTATATTAAAAATCTTAGAAAACCATACACTTTGAGCAGATTGCTTCCCAAACAAGTTTAAAATAGAATGGAGTCTTTGGAGAGGTAGATGGTTTTCTTTCTGTTAACGTTTAGTAGCCCTGGTTTATACTATATTGGTACATACATCAACTTCAGATTCCTAAGGTGGTGATGTGCTTTCCACCCCCCTCCCCTTAATAAAGACCATATCTAGGTTTTATTCTCTACTCCAAGCCTTTGGACTTTCATTGTAACCTTAGCCAGCTGCTGTAGGCAACCAGCTTTTCTGATTTGGGCCTAGGTCTGCTCTTTTGAGGACTATACTTTTATCCTCCCAGGTGTTTTGTTTGGTTTTTAATGCAATTTGCATCAGTTCTAGGATTTCCCAAATGTTCCCTGATAACACAATGTTTCAGGCCCAGAAAGATGCGTGTTTGCAGCCTCTGTTGTCCTGCGATAAACCTTTTTGTTATTTGGTAAATTTGGTGCTTAAGGCCTAAGACAAGGTTTTGAAGCAGATCCTGGCGATCCAGAACTTCAAAGACCTGTCAACTCAAAAGCAGCTGACACCTCACCTGTCCAGGAAGCTGGACATTGCAAGTATTTCCTGTTTTTAGCTTGTTTGGTTTGTACTTTCACCTTCTCTCTAGAATTCCTATTTTTGAAATATTACATAGATGGTGTCTACTTGTGACCTATAGTGTAGCAGTGTATCAAGATGCTATCTGAGTAGCAAGGGATAGTATATATATATATATATATATATATATATATATATATATTCCATATTCAGATATTCAGTAGGGGGTATTTAAAAGTATGTCTATTCCTAGTTTTAGTTAATTATCTTTTAATGAAAGTGTCACTCATATTCACATCTGTAATATTGGAAAGAGATAATTAGATTTTCAAATGAGAATCAGCCACCTTAAATTTTGCACCAGAAAATACCAAGTATATTTCATTCTAATGAGATCTGTAGTGGGGTTTTAAAATTCATCATAATGTGCTTCAAGAAGGATAATTCAACAGACTTGTAAGATGAAAGGGTTTTTTTTCCCCTAAGTCTTCTTAAAGCTATTACACTGAACTTATGCAATTCTGATAAAATATTCAAAAATATTACATAAAGGCTAAAACCATATCCCCACTATCACCCTTGCACCCATCACTTACTCTCATCTGAAAGTTTACTTTGACTCAACTAACCGCTTGCATCTACCATGCCCTGGGTTTTCTCTCCTGCGTGTGCAAGCGAAAGATAGGTGTTTAAAAAGGTGCCTATGGATCCAGAGTGCAATTCTTCCTTCGAAATAGGCTGGGCGAGCGGTGTTTGCACACTGCCAGGCACCCTTTATTTACATACATCTGCATATTTGCTCGGTCCCTGCATTTCTTCATTAAAATGCGTTCTTGTACACAACAGAATAAATTAGGCAGAGAAAAACTCTTCATTACTCTAACTTATATTTCTCCTTAAAGCTCCCTAATAAACAAATCTCTGGTCCGATAATAATTACTTTGCTTCATTAAAATAAAAAAAAAAAATTCGACTGGTTAAAGGGCATTGTTTTGGCGGTATTTATGTTTTATTTTCTCTCCCTTTTTGCTGAGAGAGAGGAAATGAGAGAGAGAGAGAGAGAGAGATTGTGTGTGTGTGTGTGTGTGTGTGTGTGTGTCTAATGAAGTTTGGGAGTCGCGCGCGCAGGGGCGCGTGGGGTGCGAGCCCCGGAGATCCCCATCTCCTGCCCTCTCCGCGGTCGCAGCGTCCCGGGCTCCCGCCGCAGCGCTCCGAGCCTTGGAAGCCGCGAGGCTCCCGGGCTGCTCCGAGTCCGGGCTGCGCGTCATTTGCAGTCTGGGGAATGTTGATCACCTCACTAATTACACCTCTCTCTCCCCCCTCTCCCTCTCCCTCTCCCTCTCCCTCACTCTCCTCTCTCATTCCCAGAGTGCATATCGGGAATAGACACACAAAGACATGCGCACTCAACTTAATCAGCCATTTTTTTTAAACAGGGCTAAAACGATAATAATTAGCAGAATAAAGACATATCGGATTTTCATTTCCTTTCCTCCTTTTCCCAACCCCTTCACAACCAAACAGCGAGACCGCGGTCGGCACATGCTTTAACTCCTCCCGGACCCCCGAGGACCGCTCCATGCCCCCCACTTTCTGCTTCAGCGTTTTTATTTTCACCCAATAAAGTTCGAGGATTATTTTTTATTTTTTTTATTTTTTTTTAATGAACCCTCTCGTTTTACTTGGATGTGATCAGCTGTAAGTAAAATAAAAGCAAAACAAAAAAGAGGCGAAGATCGAGTAGGAACTGCAGGGGAAATGGAAAGTAAGTTTTTTCTTTAACTTTTATTGAGTAGTTTGTGTTAAATTTAGGTCGAGTATCGATTATCTTTCCAGCCTGATCTTGCACAATCTTTGATATTTCGCTCCCTCTCTCTCCCTCTCCGCCTCTCTCCCTCTCTGCCCCTAGCTCGCTCGCTCTCGCTCGCTCTCGCACACATCCCCTCATCCCAACCATCTCTTCCGCTCTGCCCCCCTTTTCTATCTCTTTCCCCCTTTTTTGGCTCAAGGATTTGCTCCGCTGAAAGAGGGAGGGGGCACTGAGGGACCTGATTTTCCACTTTCTTTGGGGGGGGGCTGCGTTTTTGGGGATTTAACTTTTGGATTAAGTGGCGGATCATCCACGTTTGGCCGAGCAGTTTTCTCTCCTTTTTCCTGTCTTTTCGGGTTCTGTCTCCACCGCGAGCCTGTGGCGTTCTCGTGGCGCGGGGAAGCTGTCAGCTCCGCAGCGGCGCGGGCACTGCCAGGGGTCCCCGGTCGCCCCGCGCTCCCACACGCCAGTCGGGATGACCCTTTCTCCGCACTCATCCTCGGAAAGTTTGGACGTTGGTCGGTGGGGCTTGAAGCCCCTCTCTCCCTGTTTTACACCCCCCCCCGCCCCCGTTATTCAGCCTCGTTTTTCTTCCCCCTCTTACCACCCCCACCCTTTCCTCTCTCAAGTTCCCCGAAGAGCGCTTAGTGCGCGGGACTGGCGGAGGACGGGGGATCCGTACGCCTTGGGCAGGGGGTTCCAAGAGGCCCCGGCGCGAGCTGGGTCTGGGGCTGTAGGTGGACACCCGCCGGCCGGAGCGGACGGCGGGGCACAGCAGAGGGCTGCTCCCGGCGGCGCGGGCGGCGCGGACTCGGGTGCTGGCGAACGGAAGGCAGGTCCGTTAGGAGGCGGGAACGCCGGGCCTCGGGGCCAGGGAATCGGGAGGCGGCAGCAGCTCTGCCGGGCGCTTTCGCTGCCGGGTGTGCGTTAGACTAGAGGATAGATGCCAGCAGCTCGGGGTCAAGAATCCTTCCTTTCCTTTTGGCAAAGGGCAAAGGGTGTGTGTGTGTGTGTGTGTGTGTGTGTGTGTGTGTGTGTGTGTTGGGGGGGGCTGTGGCCGGCTGTGAGAACTGATTTATTCCCTGCCCCCCCCCCCCCAAAGAGGTTCCATGTCTACAAACGAACTTCACCTTCTTCGCCTCTCTCCGCATCAAGTGCGCCTTCCGGCCGGGAGCTGCTAAGGGAAGAGGGGCTGGAATGCGTCGGGTCTCGCCTTCCTCCTACTTCTGTTTCACTCCCTCCTCCCCCATTCTTTCCTGCTCTTTTCTATCAGAAAATAATAATAATAATAAAATTTCTCATGGAATTGTATAAAGTTTCTCTGCCGATGCCCAAGTAACTGAGGGTTCCCCATCCTGGCCCCCTTCCCCCACAGAAGACGGTGCACTGGTTTGTATTTCTTTTGTTACCTGTGATCCGGGCGGGGGGCTCCTTTCGCGGCTCGGGCTGGGGTCCGGCCCAGAGAGGAGGCTCCAGCGAGCGCCTTTGGCCGCGACTCCTCACTTCCGCGCGGTTCTGGTGAGATCTTAGCTACCGTTCGACGAGACACCCTCCTTGTAGGTACCAAAGGTTCAGATCGCAAACACGGACCCCCCCCACCCCGACCCCTACACACACATACATACACACACTCAACACGTACTCACAGACACACACACATTCTCCCTACTCCCCCCCACCTTTAGCCCCCACCTTGCCTTTCCCCTCCCCCCTTCCAAAAAAAAAAAGCACATACACAACAACAACCCCCCCAAACCAAACAAAAACCCAAAGACAAGTTCACTGGCGGAAGATGGTGGATTGACACTGACTCAGACAGAGGCAGGTTCACCAGGAAATCTGGCGGTCCCGATTTCTGACAGTTGCATTTCCTCTCCTTGAGTCCTTACCCCCCCTTTTTAATAACTCTGTTCCATGTTTAATCAAGGATCATGTAGATGGCGAAAGGAGAGACAGAGAGAGAGGAGAGAGAGGAGAGAGAGAGAGAGAGAGAGAGAGAGGAGAGACAAGAGACAGAAGGAGGGTTCTTTTTTTTTTTTTTTTTTTTTTTTTATTGTGTTCTCCTGGATTTTCAGTGGCTTGATCCCTATAAACGTGGAGCGGTTAAAGCTCATATGTAGTATTATATTTTTAGTTGGGTGGATGGATGGAGGAGTCAGGGAGAGGCTGCGGCTGCCGCTGCCTTTTCGGGTGTTGCTTAGATTAAGGCTGAGGCTTGGCTGCGATTGGGACGCGACAGTGACACGGGCATCGATCGCTTCCATTGAGAGCAATGCAAAAACACAGCCCGGGTATGTAACACTCTCGGTGCCCTCAACATTTGTTTTACTTTATATTTACTGGCAAAACTGCCAGAGCAAGCTCAGACTTTCTTTCTTTTCCTTTTCTTCCCTCTTTTCTCTTTTCTAACTGAAAAATTAAAAACAATTGTGTATAGAAGTTGTTGGAAATGACGGTTTAAATACCACAGAAAGGAGCTATTCGGAATTATTTCACTACTCTGTAACTGATTATGTTTTAGAGTTTTCTTCTCCACAGAGGAGCATATTATAGAAAATGAAGGTTTTCTTTTTTTCCTTCCTCTTCTTAAAAAAAGAAAATCCTGAAGGCAATATTTGATAGTTTTCAATGTTTGCGGTTTCAATCAGCAGGAAGGCACACAAAAATAAAAGATGGCTAGCCAGCTGTTTTAACCTCTTGCACCTGGCTTCAGTGCGGGGATCATAAGGTTTATATAGTTATTTTTTTAAATGGTTTTAATATTTATGGCATAAACTGGGGAGAGAGCATCACTGTGTATTTCTTCAATAGCTGGTTGCTTTTGGATTTAAAAAAGTAAACTCATATTTAAGTGTTTTCATTTTTATGGCAATGAAGATAGAGCCAATGAAATATGGGGGAAATACCATAAATCTGAAAAGTGAAATGTACCTAAGGAACAAAGAAAGGTCAGGTAAACCAGCTGTGTAAGTCAAAGCAATAGCACCAACTGAGGGGTTAGGACAGGGAGAGTGGGCTGTGGGTCTAGGAAGTGAAAGTTGCCACTAAAAGTTAAAAATGAAGGAAACATGTTCAGCTCTATTGTAACCTTTCGCAGTTTTTAGCAGATGAGCCCAAATCTGTTCATTAATTTTGAGCTAGTTGGATTATTTTTAAAGATGCTGCACCAGCAAAGGAAAGCATAAAGGATGCTGAGAAAATCGCTGTTTAATATTGCAGAATTTACTGCTTTCATTCTGACCATGAGCCTAAATTTACACAATGAAATTTAATTATCTCTAATAACAATATTAGATCCTCCACTGGATGGATGAGAATTGAGGTGGTTTTGTTGATTGCAAGGGTTTAATGTTGCATTTCAGAATCTGATGTGGTTTGGCCTCCCTTCCATTAACTGGAAAACCCCTGAGGTTTTACAATTATTTCTTAAAGATAATACATTTAAGATTGCATTGGTAGGCTGAAGAAAAGTCATAAAGGCAAGAAGGGAAGCCCTTAATAACTCTTGAGATTCAGACATGTTCAGCAGTTAGATTGGCTCTGACTTCACCAAGGGTCGACAATGTGTCATTTCCACGAAGCCAAATTGCCCTCTGCCTATATGATATTAATGTGCAAATCAATATTTCAGGGATTAAATTTCCCTTCTTCATTTTTTATGGTTTCTACCTCAATAAGTCTCAAGTCTATTAGAAGAGGCTGGATGATTTAAAATCTTTCACTGCAGAATGGCTTGTCGTAGTCTTGTTTCACAGACCATTTTAGGATTTTCGTTATAAAGACTAAGGGCATCCTAAAGAAGTTGTGAGGTAGTATAGAGGCATGCTCAATAGCATAAAGCCCTTGTTCGATTAAGAGCTAAGGGGTATTGGAAATATAATATGTATGTTTGTGCAATATAGACACACACACATTCTGCTGCTTTAAAAATATTATGTTAATCACCTATTGATTTATTTCAAAATCAATTGAAGTTCCTCTCTTATTAGTGATTTGTTCAGCATTCTTGAGGACTGTGTTAATTTCCTTAAAGAGAATGCATGAATTGGCTTGGTGTGAAAGTATTTGGGAAGGCTTTTCATTTAGCAATATTTTCCTAAGAAATATTTCTAGAAACCATTGTTTGTAAGAGTAATAATCAAGTGTTGTCATCTGCATGCGCTGTTATCATAGCTATCATTGCATTTTGTGGCTGAATGATTTAGCTGATATCTGTTACAGGAGGCCTTCTCCAATTCATTCTACATTTATTTCTAGTACTTAGTAGGCACAATGTTTCTTTTAACCCACTTGGAGAAACACATTTGTAAAAGAAAACCTGTGATTTGATTGGAAATAATACAAAGCAGAAATTTGGGAGTTCAAAATAAAAGATTGTGACTTTATCACATAATCTTGGGAAGGCCTACTGTCTATCATTTGGTGGTGGTTTATAGTCTAAAACCATCTGGACCAAGTTCCGCACAGCTGCACGAATTTCATATGTGATAGAACATTTTTTCCATTCAGTGTGAAATGTTCCTTCCTAAAAAACGTACACCAGACTCGCTTAATTTAGTCTGTTAAAAGAAATGCACATGAAAAAGGACAAAGGCTCTTTAATCTCTGCAAGCTGTTTGTTTTTCTTCAAGATTCCTGTCTGTTTGGGTTTGAAAAGTCATGTTTATTGAGGGGATGATTCTGAGGTGTGACATTAAAATAATATATGATTTTTGGACTGGTGGCCACGCTCCTGCTTAATTTGCAGAACTACTTTTTATGCCTGTCAAAACACAGAGTTAATCTATCCTTATTTACAATTAATCTCAATAAAATTAATCTTAACTATGCTTTATTCAGTGGCTTAAAATATCTAATTATATTCAATTAACTGCTGTCATAGTAATTAACATTGCTTAATTGCCTCTGCATATATTTATGTAAAGCTCATTAGGTGCTGATGCTCCCTTTTCCTTTTCTACTTGCTATTTTTGCTGTTGTCAAACCATTTTCATCTCCCAAGGTCCCACAATGTCAGTGAGAGCAAATTCTTAACATTTTCTTGAAATGAATGTTATTGCTTTTCTATGAGAAGATATTCGTTATAAGTCTTTAAAGACAAATCCACCCACAAACCCCCCCCCCCCCGTTTTCCCTCATCCCTGGTCCCTACCACACTCACAAAATATTTTCTGTCATTGTTGCTAGAAATATGAGAAGCCAGGTTAAGCTTTGTGTTTATAAATGAGGAGCCTTTCTGTGTCTGCCTAGGGGCTGTACCCACAGGCAGAGTTTTTATCCTCTAAGACCATTCTAAGGGTTAAAGACTTGGCCAAGGTTCAAACTGAAAAGCGCCCAGGGAAAGTGCATGTGAATATGTACAAGTTTCATGTAATTAGTGCTTAATTATATTAACATATGCAAATTGTCAACTTAGGAGCTTGTTGAGCTGGCAAAGATCAGCTAGGCACAATTGCTGTATTGTTCTGAAACAATAATGGATTTCAAGTTGGATTGTGGAAACACATAACTAGCTATCTAATTTAACTCATACCATGGTGAAATTTCATTAGTCTCCATGGAGACTGGTTTAATTGTGCTGACTAATGTTCTGGGCTGCAGAATGTCCTAAAAAGAAAGCGTTGTTTGCCTAATCCACCTTACAATGACACTTGTTTGTACATGTTTCCCTTGTGTGAGAATTTGCATATGCAAATAAATAGTTTCTCTGCCCCATTTGTCATGGCTGTTCATTACCCATGAAGAGGACATTGTTACTAGGCTGTTACTGAGTCTCCCAAGACAGGATAGTGTCAACCAGTCCAACTACATTCTTTCATAATTTGTTTCTGATTAATAGACCAGAGTGAGTCTCAGTCTCTTTGGGCATCTGCAAAGGGAAGGTCAGTTCTGTCACAGAAAAGAGTTTCTGCAGTATACTGGGGCACTTTTTCTTCTTATGATCATTCTCCTTTTTCCATTCATTAGTTAACACCATCATATTTAAAATAATATATTCTTGTTCTAAGAATGCCTCTACTAATAATCTCTAGTTTCCTAAAGCAAAAAGATAGGAAAATAAAGGAGATTCTGTTATTGGAATATTAATCCTGTTTTTGACAGAAAGGTAAACTGATATAATTGCTTTTCAGTTGAAGGAATGGGGGTTTATACAAGTGTGAAAGCATCGGAAAAGGATTAGCATTTTTTTGCATAATGAAAAGCTCTGTTGAATAGGGTTCTGAATGGCTGACTGAATGACTAAGATGAAAGGAAGATGAAAATGCAGGCCCCTCTTTCTTTATGCCTATGCTCTGCTCTCTCTAAAGTTATGTTTGTCCAAGACTTGAGAAAACAAGCAGGGGCTCAGATTTCAGCAACTTATAAGATGCCCTGAGTTTTCATCATCACTGGGAAGTAATATGGATGACCATAGTGCAGCTAGAGGATGATAAACAGAGGCTTGTATGCAGAAGAGTTTTCAGAAACATGCTAGGCTAGCCAAATATTGACTATTGGGTATCGAGAATTCCCAGCACTTTGCTGTCAAAAACGGTTATTTCAGAGGAGGCAAAGAGTATGGTGTGGGTATTTAATTTAGTTAATGATGGAATATATGGTGTTCCTCTGCCCTCCTCCCCCATAGGCTATAAATAGTTGTCTCAATTGGTAGAACACTTCATTTGGGAAAGAGTTGTGTATCCTGACTTTTGCCAATGTTAAGTGTGCTAAGTGGCCCATCAGCTTTTATGGTTGGGAGGGGTTAGTAGAAGAAGATACAGAGTTATTTTCTTAGGATTTAATTCATCTTCATGTTGCTTTGTAGGTGTCTTGTGCATTTCATTTAGAGATAAGTCTTTTAAAAAGTGTCTGAGTATTGTATGTTCATTTTTGGAGACATTGGCAGTAAGGTTTTCTCTTGTCACTAGTTAGAGCTGTAACTGGTTATCAGTTGGCAACATGGTCAGGGCTCTT